ATTCTTGATCTCTAGACCCGGCAAGCCTTTAAGAGGATACCAACCCATCAAAACCCTACCTAAACCCCAAACATTTCGGGTTTCGGGTCAAGGGTTGAGGGTCTGGGTGGATATGCTCCGAGGAAGCCTCCTAAACCACCCAAACCCTGAATGCTTAACTTCAACAAAAAAAGGCACCAGAACCCCGTGAACCGCAAAAGCTCTCTCAACCTTAAGCCAGTGTCTGAAACCTACATTGCAAGGCCCTGTATGAAATTAGGGCCAATCTTGGCCGTGGTATTCAGGGCCCCTAAACCCTAAACCCTAAACCCTAAACCCTATAAACCCTAAACCCTAAACCCTAAACCCTAAACCCTAAACCCTAAACAGTTTTAGAAGTCCTAGATCCATCCGAAAGCCAGAGGATTGGCCACTCACGGCTTCGGTGATGGAGCCTCTGACCAAGGTAGTAGGGTTTAGGGTTTAGGGTTTAGGGTTTAGGGTTTAGGGTTTAGGGTGTAGGGTTTAGGGTTTAGGGTTTAGGGTTCAGGTTTCAGGGTTTAGGGTTTAGGTGGAACCCGGAAGCCAGAGGAAGCAAATGCGGGCCTACCATCTAAGTTGAGAGCTTCCGGGATGTCGTTCTTAACTCTTCGTAAAGTTCGCACCTAACTAGCCTGCTGCTGGTCCGGTGGCTCGGGTTTTCAAGCTACGTTTCCCGGCTTGGGCTTTGGAGTTTAGCTAGGATTTGCATGTTCGGGCGAAGCAAGACATAGTCATAGCCCCAAGCTCAAGCCCTGAACATGTTTACCTGTTCGGGAAGCCTAAGAGGACAACGAAAGCCAACCCCAACTATGCCCGAAAGGGACCGTAACTTCCAGAAATGGCTAGAAAAAATGAATGAACCCTAAACCCTAAACCCTAAACCCTAAATCCTACACCCTAAACCCTAAACAATAGACCCTATACGCCTAGCACCACAGAAAGGCCCACACAAAATCCATGCGCAAGCAAACCCTCAAAACGACGAATCGCCACACCTTGGACGCCGCTTTGGAGGCTACAGCCTGTGCCTGCCAGGGTTTAGGGTTTGGTAGGGTTCAGGGGTTGGGGGTTTGGGGCTTGGGGTTTGGGGCTTGGGGTTTGGGGTTTGGGGCTTGGGGCTTGGGGCTTGGGGTTTGGGGTTTGGGGTTTGGGGTCTGGGGTTTGGGGCTTGGGGTTTGGGGTTCGGGGTTTGGGTTTGGGGCTTGGGGTTTGGGGTTTGGGGCTTGGGGTTTGGGGTTTTGGTTTGGGGTTTGGGTTTTGGTTTGGGGTTTGGGGTTTGGGGCTTGGGGTTTGGGGCTTGGGGTTTGGGGTTTGGGGTGGGGCTTGGGGTTTGGGGTTTGGGGTTTGGGGCTTGGGGTTTGGGGTTTGGGGTTTTTGGGTTTGGGGCTGGGGTTTGGGGCTTGGGGTTTGGGGTTTGGGTTTGGGGGTTTGGCTTTGGGGCTTGGGGTTTGGGGTTTGGGATTTGGGGGGGTGGGGTTCGGAGTTTGGGTTTGGGGTTTGGGGCTTGGGGCTTGGGGTTTACCATAGGCGGTTTCGCACAGAAACATAGGGGCGTTTGGGAAAAAACCCACCCCCCCCTACCCCCCCCCCTACCCCCCCCCCTACCCCCCCCCCTACCCCCCCCCCTACCCCCCCCCCCCAACCCCCCCCCCCACCCCCCGCCCTCTCTGGTTGCTGGGCTCAATCGGTGGGGCTGCCCTGCCCTGACTCCTGTTTGGGTCCTGGTGCTACTCCCCCCCCCCCCCCCCCCCAACGTTTCACAGAGGCTCAAGCAAATCAGCTTTTGGATCCTTTGAGCTGACGAGCGCGTTTAAACCTTTCAACTATGCTCCAGCGGGGTCGGCGGCTTGAGCCGGAGGCTCTTAAATTTAGGGTGTGGGGTTCCGTAGGCTTTGTTTGGCATTTATGAAGTAAAGGCTTGCGTGGGGGTTTACGAAAACAAGGGGCCCCTAAACGTCCGAGCAATAGTAGGACTCCCTTATGTCAAGGGCCCCAAGAAGGTACCCTCTATTTTCGGAAGCCCCACAAATTGCTTTGGAGTTGTCGGGCTCTCGCTAAAGCTTTCTAGCATGCAATCTGAGGTTTAGGGTTTAGGGTTTAGGGTTTAGGGTTAAGGGTTTAGGGTTTAGGGTTTGGGGTTTAGGGTTTAGGGCTTAGGGTTTGGGGTTTAGGGCCCCTGAGCCCTAGGGCAGCTCCGTGAAGATCCCCGAGCGCGGGGCCATGCCTTGGACGTGACAGGTCCGGTGTTCTGCCTGGGCAGGTTTAGGGTTTTGGGTTTTGGGAGACCCCTAAGATCATGGAATCCCTAAACCTTATAACCTAAAGCCTAAAGCCTAAAGCCGAAAGCCGAAAGCCTAAAGCCTAAAGCCTAACCCCTAACCCCTAAACCCTAAACCCTAAACCCTAAACCCTAAATAAACCTGAGGGCGTGTGAGCTTTCATGGGCTGGTGCCTTTTGCTGGGCTGCTCGTCGCTCGGCTCCAGGGGCCTTTTCACCTCAGGGTGCTCGCGCACCAAGAGTTGCTATGGCAACGTTTAGGGTTTAGGGTTTAGGGTTTAGGGTTTAGGGTTTAGGGTTTAGGGTTTAGGGTTTGGGGTTTGGGGTTTAGGGTTTGGGGTTCAGGGTTCAGGGTTTAGGGATTGGGGTTCAGGGTTCAGGGTTTAGGGATCAGTCTCTTCAGCCCTAAACCCTAAACCCTAAACCTGAATCCTAAACCCCAAACCCTAAACCCTAAACCCTAACCCCACACAACCCAAACCTACTGAAGCCCAACTAGGCACTGCTGAAAGGGCCGCAAAAAACGAAATACAAAAAAGGCCCTGGTTCGAGAATGAACATAATATAGACTCACGCTTTTTGTTTAAAACGCATAACCTTGGCAGCCCAGTAACAAAATTATAATAAGGGCACCCTTTTTTTGGCTTGGTTACTTTACAAGGGAACCCAAAACCAAAAAACAAGAGTAAAGGGTACCACTGGGCTACCAAGCAACTACTGGAAGCCTCAGCCCTCAACGCTACTAACCCTAAACCCTAAACCCTAAACCCTAAACCCTAAACCCTATGAATCCTATTAATCCTATAAACCGTTCACCGACAATGGGACTCGGGGCCCCAGCGCCACCCGCCGGCTCTGGTGAAGTCCTGACGGGCTTAGGGTTTAGGGTTTAGGGTTTAGGGTTTAGGGTTTGGGGTTTGGGGTTTGGGGTTTGGGGTTTAGGGTTTAGGGTTTAGGGTTTAAGGCACCGAAACTCCCTCCCATGCTTCTGCCGCTACCGGACGCCTTGGGAACCCTCAGCTATACCCTAAACCCTAAACAATAAAACCGTAAACCCTAAACCCTACACCCTACACCCTAAACCCACATGGCTTTGGGTTTAGGTTTGCTAGGGTTTAGGGTTTAGGGCTCAGGGCTTAGGGTTGAGGGTTTAGGGTTTAGGGCTTAGGGCTTAGGGCTTAGGGCTTAGGGTTAGGGTTTAGGAGCTATGCGCCCTTAAAAGCCCGACACCTTGAAGCCTCGGTCCCGAGACCGCCGGCTGACGGGATTTAGGGTCTAGGGGTTTAGGGTTTAGGGTTTAGGGGTTTAGGGGTTTAGGGTTTAGGGTTTAATTAGGGTTTAGGGTCTAGGGGTTTAGGGTTTAGGGTTTTAGGGTTTGGGGTTTAGGGTTTGGGGTAGGAGGGTGTAGGGTTAGGGCTCTAAGGGTCCAGAGTTCTTGCGCTCGCGTTCGAGGATTTAGGGTTTTTGGGCTTTGGAGTTTTGAAGGTGCTTCAGGGTTTTCGGGCTTCTTAAGGCTGCTTGGGTTCCGGGGAAGGGGGGGTCACAACCCTCAGGCAATCTGCACAAACATGGCAGCCTGGCGTTTCCTCCAATCAAAGAACAGAATTACCTCAAACCTGGTGATTTCGGGTTTCAGGGTTTAATTCGGGTTTTGTTAGGAAGGCCGCAACCCACATTCGCAGCCTATGCCCCCCAATGACATGGACACCTGCTGTGGTATACACTTGCTTTACTCGATCTGTTGTTGACATGTAGCAATGTTGTAGCATTGCGCGATTACACTATCTGATCTGAATTGCCACTACAGTACATCCCGCTATTGCTATACCACCATAGGTCCAGGTACCTATATGGTATGCAATTGGGCCGTAGAGGGGTTCCCATTAGTAGCTTTAGCGCCCAAGTAAACCCTAAACCCTAAACCCTAAACCCTTATTATAGTTCGAAGCCCAGAATAACTTGGCCCCCGCACACTGCTGGAGCTGCCTCTGCTGCGACATCCCTGGCAAGAGCTCTGGGCATCTGTGCGGGGATTGGGGTTTAGGGTTTAGGGTTTAGGGTTTAGGGTTTAGGGTTTAGGGTTTAGGGTTCTAGGTTTAGGGCTTCGGGGGGGGGGGGGGGGGGGGGGGGGGGGGGGGGGGGGGGGGGGGGGGGGGGGGGGGGGGGGGGGGAGGTAGGTTCAAACGGGGCTCCTTTAAAAGGACCGATAGGGCTTGTCAAAAGGTTTTGGCAACTTAGAGCTTTTCCTGTTTACGGTTTGTACTCGGCCTTGTGTTTTTGAAGGCGAATGTAGGGCTTGGGGTGTAGGTTTACGATCAAGGAATTGGGGTTTAGGTGGTTTTTAGGGCTGATGAATGCTTTTTGTGGCTTGGTAAGGCTTGTAGGGTTCAAGTTTGTTTCGATAAGCGGACTTTCGGACGGCAAAATTAGGGTTTGTCTGCATCCTCTCAAACAGCCCAGAAGCTCAAATACACCGGCCAAGATATGTCTCGACATAATCCCCGTACAATACCTCTGATTTTGAAAAGGCCACACAAAATACCCGTTCTGATTTTGGTCGCTATATTCGTCTAACGTTGCCAACAACAGTAGTATAGCGGACTATACCTTCAAATGGGCCAACGCTCAGAGTGTTCAGGTCAGCACGAAGCCCTAATACCTAAACCCTAAACCCCTAACGCCGGCAGTCCCCCACATTTTGTCACAGCTCCTGGTTCAGACGCTCTAGCTGACGCTGTAACTCCTTGGCACGCAGGTAGTCCTCAGCAGCCACCGCTTCTGCCTGAGGGAGTTCTTGGCTTTGGGGTTTCAGTCTTGATTGGGTTTCGGACCCCAAAACCCTAAACCCTAAGCCCTAAAGCCCTAAGCCCTAAAGCCCTAAAGCCTTAGAGCCCTAAAGCCCTAAAGCCCTAGAGCCCTAAAGCCCGAAAGCCCTAAAGCCCTTAACTCCCTAAACGAACTTGTTTGTTGAATATCGTCGTCGTCAATGGTGCGGTTTAGTCAACCTTGAGAAGCTTCACCATCACTGCCAGCGCAGAACCGTGTGAACCGTGAACCGCCGAAACCGCGACAAACACGAACCGCCGTGGAACCGAACCTCAAGCCAAGGCCTAAACCTAAACCCTAACCCTAAACCCTAAAACCCTAAAAACCCTAAACCCTAAACCCTAAACCCTAAACCCTAAACCTAAACCTCCTAAAGCAGTAAGGCCACGGTTCGTGGAGGTTCGTTTCGGTTTCCGGGACATACTCTGGAACGGTTCCGGTTCACGCGGTTCGCTGTGGCTTGCGGTTCGGTTCGGTTCGGGTGCCAAGTGCCAAAACCCCCCCCCCCCCCCTCCATCCCCCAGCCCTCCGGCCCCCTCCCCTCCGGCCCCCCCAGCCCCTCCGCCCCCGCCCCTCCAGCCGCCCCAGCCCTCCAGCCCGGCTGGAAGGGGGCTGGAGGGCTGTCACGCTTTTCCCAACGCACAAGCACCAAAAACCACATCCCACCCTCAAGCTCGAACCTCTCGATACGCTGCACCCTGGGCTACACCGCAGAAATACCCACAAACCCTAAACCCTAAACCCTCAACCCTGTAAACCCTGTAAGCCTCCAAAACCCTGGTAGATGTACTTAAACCCTATACGCCCTCAGCCCTAAGCCCTTGCAGGTTGAGTCTTAGGTAGTTCAGGGTTTAGGGTTTAGGGTTTAGGGTTTAGGGTTTCATGGCCCCTCAATATGGGCCCCTTATATACCGCTTACTGTATCTACCCTATAAAACTCAAGGGCCCCACACTTCGGAACTCTTTAAAGAGGGCCAGGGGCTAAGGGACCACGAAACTTCCCTTAGAAGGGTGCAAAACCCTAAACCCTAAACCCTAAACCCTAGCCCTAAACCCTAAACCCTAAACCCTAAACCCTAAACCCTAAACCCTAAACCCTAAACCTCAAATCCCTGCAACTACCCTCTAAATGTTTGAAGGTTGAGGGGAGCTCCGAATTGCGCACGCCTTCGCCTCTGCGAGTGCTGCTCGAAGAGTGGCCCGCTCCTGCACGCTAAGGGGTTTAGGGTTTAGGGTTTGGGGTTTAGGGTTTAGGGTTTAGGGTTTAGGGTTTAGGGTTTAGGGTTTAGGGTTTAGGGGCTTTGGATTTAGGGGTTTAGGGGTTTATGGTGCAGGGTTTAGGGTTTTGGGGTTTAGGGTTTAGAGATTTAGGGGCTTAAGGCTTTAGAGGGCTTTAGGGTTTGCACTGCTTAGGCCTTGGCTTGGGGTTTCGCACCCTGTCTGAACCCCTCAAACCCCTGAACCCTAAACCGCGAACCCCTAAAACCCTGAAACCCTGAAACCCTGAACCCCTAAAACCCTAAACCCCTAAAACCCTAAACCCCTAAACCCCTAACCCCCTAAACCCTTAAACCCCTAAACCCCTAAACCCCCTAAACCCCTAAACCCCTAAACCCCTAAACCCTTAAACCCCTAAACCCCTAAACCCCCTAAACCCCTAAACCCCTAAACCCCTAAACCCTTAAACCCCTAAACCCCTAAACCCCTAAACCCCTAAACCCCTAAACCCCTAAACCCCTAAACCCCACGCTCCTCCTCGATGCGTTGCCTGGTCAGCTCTGCCTCGGCCAGCGCCTCCTCCTCAGATAGACCTTGCAGGGTTTAGGGTTTAGGGTTTAGAGCTTGTGGTTTAGGGTTTAGGGTTTAGGGTTTAGGGTTTAGGGTCTAGGGTTTAGGGTTTAGGGTTTAGGGTTTAGGGTTTAGGGGTTCAGGATGTCCGGTTAGGCCCCCGGAACCCTAGAACCTAAACCCTTGAATCCCAGGTTGAGGGGGTAGGGTTTGGGTTTAGGGTGCCTCCCCCCTTCCCAACTGGGCTTTTGCCCGCTACCAAGGCCCCAACCCTGCATGTTGAACCGTAGATCACAAACCCTAATTAAGGCCAAAAGACAAGGATCAAGGCCTAAAGTCGATACCCCTAAACGCTATTTCAGCCCCAGCCATAAAATGCACACGCAAAGCCCTATAAATCCGAACACACTCGATGCCCCCAAACCCCCAAAACCCCAAAACCCTAAACATTCCTAACCCCAAACCCCCCCAGCCCCAAAAGCCAAAACCCCTAAGCCACCTAAACCCTAAACCCTTGAACCTCCCCAACTTTCAGCTGAGGCCCCGGCGCTGTCGCAGGGCCTCGTCGCGGCGCTGCTCGGCTTCAGCCTGCTCGGGGGCTTGGAAGTCTCCAGGGCTTAGAGGTCTCCAGGGTTAAGGGTTTAGGGTTTAGGGTTTTCAGGGTTTAAGTCCAGAAAGGCCAGGGTCTAGGAAGGCCACGTTCAGGGTAGTGGGGTTTGGGCCCTTCGTTTTGTTCCTCGGCGGCCAGCGTTCCGAGGGCAAGGCAAGGGAAGGGCCCCTGCGTACCCGAAACCCTACACCCTATAAACCCTGAACCCTAAACCCTTTCCTCTAAACCCTAAACCCTAAACCCCAAAACCCTAAACCCTAAACCCAAAACCCAAAACCCTAAAACCCAAAACCCAAAACCCTAAACCCTAAACCCTAAACCCCAAACCCTAAACCCTTTATAAACCCTAAACCCTAAACCGGGGTTTTAAATTGCGAGTGGAGCGAACCGCAGCTTCTCTTCCTTGAAGTGCGCCTTTCGGGTTTGGGTTTTGGGGTTTGGGGTTTGGGGTTTGGGGTTTGGGGTTTGGGGTTTGGGGTTTGGGGGTTTGGGGTTTAGGGTTTAGGGTCGGTTTAGGGTTTAGGAAACTCGCCAAAGCCCTCCGGGGGGCCTGCCTGGACACGCAGCCTTTCCTCCACTTGTGCTTCGGAATTCTCCGCTGGCGGACGGGCACTGCCGTGCAGGAGCCTCGGGGTTTAGGGTTTAGGGTTTAGGGTTTCGGGGCTGGGGCTCTGGGGCTCTGGGGTTCAGGGTTTGGGGGTCTCGGGGGTTTAGGGTTTGAGGTTTTTGGGGTGTTGTGTTCAGCGCTACTGCCTTAAAAACCTACTCCCAGACGCGGGAGTAACCCAGTAGGAACAGACGGGGCGCCTTTTTTGGCTGAAAGGGCCTTATAAGGAAACCTAAGCCCTAACAGAAAGGAAATAAGAACCTACTCTGCATCTTTAACCATAAACCCTAAACCCTAAACCCTAAACCCTGCACCCTGGACCCTTCAAAAAAAGAAGAGGGGCCTACTCCCAGTCCTGGTCTCTGGTCTGCTAATACAAAAAGGGCTCCGGCTTTCGACCAGGGAGGCCCCAAAAGTCATTGGTTCCCCTACTACCCCTCCCCCCCCTGACCTTACCTTACCTTAAAGGGTTTCGGGTTTAGGGTTTAGGGTTTAGGGCTACCCCCCCCCCCCCCCCTGGTATAGAGGGGGGTAGTAGGGGGCTCCAACAGGGCTGGCTGCTTTGACTTCATCGGGCGAGGGTTTAGGGTTTAGGGTTCTAGTTTTAAGGTTTACGGTTTAGGTTCGGGTTGTTTCACGGTTTAGGGTTTAGGGTACACATGTAGGGTTGAGGGCTTTAAGTTTAGGAATGGCGTGTTCAGCCGTACTTTCCCAGATTTTGTGGTCTAGGCTTTAGGGTTTAGGGTTTAGGGTACACATGTAGGGTTGAGGGCTTTGCTTAGGCTTTAGGGTTTAGGGCCTGCCGGAAAAGAGTCGCGCTTTCGTGTGGTTCAATAAAGCCCAAAGTGCACTTGGAGCCCTGGACAAGACCCCCTGATTCTTCGTCGGGAATGAGGGAACGATGGTCCTATATATACATATATACTTATATATATATATATATATATATATACCCTTTAAGGGATGATATATGGCCCTAACCCTAAACCTTAAACCCTAACCCTAACCCTAAACCCCAAACCCTAAACCCTAAACCCTAAACCCTAAACCCTAAACCCTAAACCCGCCAGAAGAAGGACTTTCAGCCAAACAGCCGGTCGAGCTCGCCATCTGAGCGATTTCGCATCTCCACCTGAGCTGGGGTCGGGCGAGGCGGGGGCCAGGCTATGGGTTTAGGTTAGGGTTTGGGGTTTAGGGTTTAGGGTCTAGGGTTTAGGGTTTAGGGTTTAGGGTTTAGGGTTTAGGGTTTAGGGTTTAGGGTTTAGGGTTTTTAGGGTTTAGGGTTTAGGGTTTAGGGTTTAGGTTTAGGGTTTAGGGTTTAGGGTTTAGGGTTTAGGGTTTAGGGTTTAGGGTTTAGGGTTTAGGGTTTAGGGTTTAGGGTTTAGGGTTTAGGGTTTACGGCCTAGGGCTTGGGGCTAAGGGTTTAGGGGAAACTTTCATGGAGCGTTGCGAAAGAACAGCTTGGGGCCCCCCAAACCCCCCTCTTAAAGACCCTAAAGACCTAAAGACCTAAAGACCCTAAATCGCACCTTGGAGCTACGTTGATGTTCTAGACTTCGGGGTTCGGGAAAACCCCCGAACACCAAGCCAGCAGGCCTAGCCTAACCCAACTGACCTAACCTAATGCAACCTATCCTGTTTAGGACTTTACAGGGAAAACCTAACCTAACCCTGACCTAATCCAACCTGCCCTAACCTAACTAAACCTAAACACACGTAAACCAGATCTGAGCATGACCCCAACCTAACCCCCCCGAACCTAAACTAACCGCTAGGGACTCTTAATAGGGCTCTGGGAGAGGGTCAAGAATCCGTCAGTCTGAGTCAGACGGAAGCGAATCTATACTCCCCCTAGAACCTCAATACAAAAAAATCACATATTTAATATCCTCTCGGAGTTTATAGAAACGAAAATCTAAACATACTTCCTAAAGGGGGATATAGGAAGGTTCCAGGGCTGACTCATACAGGGACCTGGCACGAGCATCCTCATCGTCCGTCTGTGCTTGCTCGGCTGCGTCCAGGAACTTCTTCGGCGAATCTTGTTCGGATGCGCCCAGGAATGGCTGAGCATGCGGCCGAGCAATCCTCCTAGGAAAGAAGAGCTGTGCTCAGATCCTGCGCGACTGGAGCTTTTAATTCATTTTATGCCAAGAGACTGTTCTTCCTCGCCTGCCGTTTCCGGCTCGATTTTGCGCTTGCGTGGCGGTGTCTTCTGGGAAGTCAAGCCCAAGGATGGTCTAGGATTCAGCGGGCGGGCTCGGTGTTGGCACATGACCTGCCATCTGATTGGGGTCCTCTTGCTGTACCATACTAGCTATATGTTCTGGAACAATAATAAAGCCTAAGTTGGAATACTTAAGCCCCAAACCCTAAACCCGAAACGCCTAAAGCACAAGTGAGCCCTCAACCCTAAACCCCAACTAGACCCTCAACCATAAACTCAACTAAACCCTCAACCCTGAAATCTAAAACCCAACTGACTCTACTTGCGACTCCTATCGTGGCCAGAACCCTAAACCCTAAACCCTAAACCCTAAACCCTAAACCCGAAACCCTAAACCCTAAACCCTAAACCCTCAACCCTAAACCCTAAACCCAGCCCTGTAGCGGACGTGTGAACTGAAAAGTGCAATATGGCAGCCGCCTCGCTAGTCGCTGCAAGGGCAACTCGGACCCTTTCCCTGAGGCTCTCAAAGGACTGGCCTAGGGGTCTAGGGTCTAGGGTTTAGGGTTTAGGGTCTAGGGTTAAGGGTCTAGGGTTTAGGGTTTAGGGTTGAGGGTGTAATTGAATTATGGGCTTAGGGTTTGGTGTTTAGGGGCTTTGGACCACAAAAACCAGATTAGACAAGGCTTCTTGGGCCATTTTGAGCCTACCCTAAACCCTAAACCCTAAGCCCTAAACCCTAATGCTGACGAGCAGCAGGTGAGCCAGCAGAACCAGCAACTGAAGGGAATGCCATCGCTCGAATTTGATGTCACTTTTTCGGGCTGCGATCACGAGAAATATTGTCAAATGCTCTCTCATGTCGTTTTGACTGTGATGCTCTGCACCCTGACTGCTGTGCTTGTCAAGAATGCGAGCTCGATCTCTGAGCCCCGTGTCCTCGGGCCGATTGTGAATTCGGGGTTGACCTTGGGAGCAACTCTTCATCACTCCTCCTTCATCAGCCATCGGTCTCCGATGCTGATTAACTATACATCGTCAACCCGTATGAGCACCTCGGAGGGATCTGCCTCGACCCTCACGACATACTCTGCACATCATTCGCTGCTGTACATTCGTAGCACTTCGTAGTCCCCAACAATGATCATACATATGAACGTGATGACCACCATCCGTGAGGTAGAAGGGGCCGCTGGGGACTCCAGGCACAGGGACCTCGACTTCCCTGATTTCGATTCGAGTCATGGGCTCCTGTGGCATCAAACGAACCATTGCCAAATCAGCCTGCACGCCAATCGTCCGGCAAGTGGGTTCGTCAGGTCGTTCTTCACGAACGCGATTGTTCATTTGATGGTGCAACTCCATTTCTACAGCCTGTTGTAGTCGACGTAGTCTCCTAGCCTGTCGCGAGCTGTCGTGACGATCGAACAGTCGATACCAAATCCACCATAGGCCTTCCCAAGCAGCCACCAAAGCTACTCCAGCCAATGCCGCCACAATATACAGCTCCAGAGACGTGTCCAAAGGAGTTGGCTCCTTCACCTGCTTTGCACGGCAGGTCTGTACCATCATCATCAAAACAACCATCCTCGCCAATGAGGTCTCAGCAGTTCGCACGACCCTATCAACTATACCCCACAGGCCCACAAGTTCCTGTAACCTCTGTCTTGGAAAGCCTTTAGTTAATAAGTCTGCCAATTGCAGCTTACCAGGGACAAATTCCAGCGCCACTTGGTCCGCTTCGATCTTCTCCTTCAAATACGAAGCACGCGCCCGAAGGTGTCGGGTTCTCCAGCTTGCGCTGGATGCCGGACTGGCCAACACGATGGCAGCTTTGTTGTCCACCTTCAGGCCAATCTTCGAATCCTCCTTTTCAAATTGGCTTGTGACCGCTTGCATTGACATTGCCATCACCAAGGCTTCTATTGACGCCATCAACTCACACTCAGCGGTGCTGAGGCATACGAATGGCTGACGAGAAGATCGCCAACCAACGACGGTCCCTCGCCAAGTGATGACAATGCCGCTGTGGCTTCGTTCCCCGGTCGGAGCGAAGGACGAGTCGCTCCAAGCCGTTAAACCAGGGCCAGTGTCTTGGATGCTCAAGGCATAGTTCTTCGTGGCCTGCAAATATGCCAGAAGCTTTTTTCCAATGACAATGCATCGTGGTGCTGCCTTTGTAAGCAAAGAGCCCATTGCTGCAACCGAAAACGAAATGTCTGGCCTGCTCCTCTGTGCTATCCACAACAGTTCGCCACACAGTCGTTGTGCTTGTCGTAGCTCGCTTTCCGTGCCAGGATCTTCACCTTCCTCAGCAGCAAACGTCAACAGCTCCCTGGAACAAGGAATCGGCGACTTGTGGTGCTCCGGGATTCCATGAGACCTCAACAGTTCCATCACATACGGGCGCTGATGGAGATAAAGGCCATGTCCATCCCCAGCAAGCTCAATCTCACATCCCAGAAAACGAATGCCTCTGTCCCGGGTCATCACCTCCAATGGTGACGTCTTCCACACCGATCCAATTTTTGAAGCCGTCGCAGCTAACAAGGCAAGAGGAGCACAAATCAACAAATCATCCACATAGACCAGAATTGTGCCATCCGGTGGATCCAAAATGGAACTCCCAGCTTCATAGATAAACCAGATGTTTGGTTCGGCAGTACCTTGGTGAAGCCGCCATTGTCGATCCTCACTCTCGAAGACCATGTCCTTCATCGTCTTATCGCGATAGGTGGCCCATAGCTTTGGCGATTGCCGTAAACCATACATCCCATGTGTCAGCAGCCATTTTTCTCCAGGTTGCACCAAACCAAGTTGCACCAAGATCGCCGGCGGTGTGATCAAGTAACGCACCTGATCAGGACCAGTGGGCATCGGGGTGAGCATAAACGCTCCTGTTATATCCAGGGACCCAGTGATCCATTTGCGGTACATCGAGTACACCAAAGTGCATCTCATGCTTTCTGCAGCTGCCCCGGAAGCAAAGACATCCTGAGGAGAATCATCAGCAAAATTCCCGCAGCATACGATACGGGACTTCCTTTTGCACCACTTCTCCTCACCATCGGCCTCCTGGTTCTCCACCGCAGGTGGCTTGAGGGTGTAGACCATTTTTGCTGGCAGCTTCTGCACGTTGGGGTCACCCTCATACTTCTTCGCCTCATCAGGACCCAATCGCCGAAATCCCTTCTCCACCACATGTAGCTCCTTTCGTATTGAAGCCAGCCATTTCTCAGGATTCAATCTCACTTCCGCTGGACTCACATTGTGGGTGTGTCGCAAGGGCTCCTGAAGGTTCCGGATAAGGTCTTCGATGTTCGGCGTGTACTCTGGCTCGATCTTCGCCAATCTTGGGTCCCTTTCCTGCGACCACCAAGTCTCCATTCGGGAAGCCATATCTTCGCCCACTTCGTCTGGCACCTCGTCCCACTCCAAATGATTCATGTAGCACCGGCGAAGATATTCGAGTTCTCCTCCAGGGTCGTCAGATCCACATACACGACGTAGTAGCGGAGGATCAGGGAGACCAATCTCGGAATCATTTTCGTGCTCCGCCTCTTCATCGACGAACACTTCCCAATCCCCGACGTACTCCACATCCTCCCAGATGGCAGAGGCCTCCTCCTCCTCTTCCCCTACGACTCGAGCTCCGCTCTGAGCCATGCACTCCGGACCAGAAGAGGACGCCTCAGACAAAGGTGTGGTTTCCAATGTCTCGCTCACCGAAAGCGTTTTCATCGTGCTGCACCCAAAGCTTTCAGATGCTTGAGGATCTTTGAGAGGAAAACCATGATCACGCAAGAACCCCAAGTCGCCCCGCGCCAAGCGATGCAACCCAGAAGGTGTGTAGGCAGAAAGGATCCATTTCCTTCCATCATCCTTCACCCACGCATGTCTTCTTTTTGGATCGAACCCTGCCGGGTGCCTTGAAACATCCACCAATCTTCCTTCAGCTGAAGTCTGGGAACCGTCACGAAGTTCATACAGCTGTTGTTCACCTCGTGCAAGTGTTGATGCACATTCTTTTCCCTCCTCCAACCACAATCCGGACTTCATTTCCATGGGCAGTTCCATGATGTAGTTGGTGGTTCCTTTCTCATTGTGGACGTCCTTGTGCACCTTGGCCTCATTGACGTGGTGGAGAACGATTGTGCTCCATGTGGGCCTACGACCTGGATACGACTTCTCGAGCTGCTGGAGGAGATAGGCATTCAGATACCTTGTTGTCCAAGGAAGTGCCTTCGCATTCATGGTGATGCCATGGAAAGGCCCCTGAACATAGGCCCCCATCAGTATCCCTTGACCTTCAATGGCCCGGGGAGTTCGTAGGTTGCACTTCACCTTGTCGAGCTCCTCCAAAATCTCCACGCAGCCCTTCCTGTCGTACCTTCCTTTTTCACACAATCTTCTCGCTATCATTTCCACCTCCGATGTCTGATGTGGCTGCAAACCACACATTTGAGGCGCATCTTCTTCTCTTTCTTCACTTCCTGCTGAACGTGCTTGTAGTGCATCAAGTTCATCCGGCTCGTTGCTTCCCCACTCATCCACCTTCATTGTCCTCAGTCTCACCCCAGGGGTTTTTGTTGTAGCCCTCGTCATCGGCGGTGCATAGGATATAGGTGGGCCTTTGGGATATGGTGGAAGCTCCTCTGTTCCACCCACACATGTAGTTGTCGAACCCGGCGCTGTTGGAGGCGGCGGCATTGGCGGCGGTGACTCCGGCTCCACCAAGATAGTCGGTGCCACTGTATCCAAAGGAGGCGGATCCCTGGCCACCCTCACATGAGTGGTTTGAATGAAGGTGCCCGTCGACTTCAAGATCACATGACCACCCCTGATATCAGTGGCTGGCCCCTGATACTTTCCTTGAAGCCAATGCGGACCCAAGTCCTCGATGTCGCCCGTTTTGTACTTCTTGATCTTCACATACACCTTCGCTCCATACGCCACCGGCATGGGGGGCACCAAACCCAGCCTCTCACACCGCTGTTGGGCAGCCGCCGTTTGGATTGCTGTAGGCCAATGTTCGCGTGGAAGCCCTGCAGCATCAAGCAATATTCTCGCTCGAGATCGCCTTTTCAGAAAACGAACTCCTGCTTCAGCCACTCCATTCTCGGCCGGTTCCGAACCCGTGGAGGTAGTTGGCAACATTCCTTGTGACAGGATCCACTTCCTCACCAAGTTGCCACGAAATTCTCCTCCTCGATCTGCATGAACTCTCACTACCGGGTATCCCAACGCCTTGATATCCACCACCATCTGCTGAATTGCAGGCAACATAGTGGCAGCCTTCTTGTTTCGTACTGGCACGCAGTAGTACAGGGTCTCGGTCTCCAGGGGCTCCTTGAAGGTGGCTTTAAGCTTTTCCCATTCTTCTTTGGCACGTCTTTCCTCCCCCACTGGAGGCAACTCCACCTCCTCCTCTTCCTCTGGAACCTCGACCTCGTCATCCGATAGCGTTTCTTCGGGTTCCTCTTCATTCCAATCATCAGGTATGGGGTGGCCTCGGACTTCACGGTGAACTTCTACTCCATCCGCTTTAGGAATCCTGAAAGCACCGATGACAAAGTACTTGAAGAACTTTCCGTCAGGAGATCGCCCATGTCCACGAAGAGGTCCAGCAACATCCACACTCAGGACATACCCTGACGGGTGGAGTGTACTTCTATGCCTCCTTCCCGTAGCTGCATTTCTCACGCAAATGGCACAGTCCCTCCTGAACGGCTGGTGGTTCCTCATGACATGAAGTCGCCAAGCAGCATCGGCCGACATCCGGGATAGCTTGATACGACCACTTCCATCGGTGCGGAACACACCAAACAGACCACTCACCACTTCCATGATTTCATCCTCCGCGACCATGGGGTTGTGGATTCCCATTTCATCCAAGCACAGCTGTGCATGACCATCATCCACCCAAGCAATTCCAGGATCATCGGCCGTCCTGAATTTCCTCCGTTCCACCAGAAACTTGGGTATGCAACCACCCCTTTGCGCTTGACCAGCAGCCGCCAAAGCATGCAGGAACTGAAAGCGGTTGCGATGCTTCTTATACACAGCAAACTCGGCGGGGGTAGCGGCAACATCATGTGAAAGGAGCGCCCCAATGCGACCATTGATTGCTGCCCAAACCAAGACTTTCCACACCTTGGTAAAATCCCCCATGTTCATCATGGAACCCACATTCACATAGACCACATCAGTCAAACGCCCCAGCTGAATCAGGGCATCGCTCGGACGATAATATCCCGGTGGATCCCACCGAACCACCCATGTCGCCGCACGGAGTAGCCTCTTCCGGGTACGACGATTCAGAGCAATCTCCTTCATGCAATCCCAGGCGCTTTCCCTTGGGTGTCGAATCAAGAGCTCCACCTGCAGTTCCTCGGCATCTCGGAAGAATGGAGCCTTTGAAAGAGCCTCACGCCCCGCCATGATCTCCCCAGTGCTCACATACTCACAAAGACATGCCCACCAACTTGTCGTCACCTGGTTGAGGACATTCAGTGATTCCATCGTGGCCTCCTTCAGTGATGGGAGTTGCGAAGCCTCGAGCTTGGAGATCAGGATGTGGGCAGTCGCTGGATCAACCTCCGGGCATCCATCCACAACTTTGAGTGGTATACTTCCCCCATCATCATCCAACAGTTCACAGCATGATGGTGTCCAATGAAGTCTGTAACCAAGTCTCGAGATCACCTTTCCCATTGGAACGATCATCTGGGTGACCTCATCACCACTTAGGAGGGTGCCTTGACGATTCTGCTTCATGACTGTGCGGGCATCGCCAGCCAGGGCCACATTCACCTGTGATGCCTGCTCCCATTCCATCTGGTCCAGAGGGGGTCGTAAAGCATGTGTGGCTCCAGAATCCATTAGCGCTGCCCTCGGTGACTGCGTTGGGGAAATCCACTGGCCATCACCTCCAAACAAGGTCCTCAGGGTAGGCTTTATCACCCCCATGTTCTTGATCTCATCCCACAACTTCATGACCTTCACGATCACCTCCGGTTTCTCTTCAATTGAGACCTTTCTGGAAGTAGCCGCTGACGTAGAGTTGGTAGGAGCCGTAGCAGATGTTACCTTGCCCTTTTCCCCTTTTCCTTTTCCTTTTGCAGAACCTCCGCCAGGTGCCCGACACTCTCGAACTTTATGGGTGGTTGATCCACAGGCCAGGCATCGACGAGCTCTTTCGCCCTTCTCCAGGCTCGTCCATGTATGGGGATAGCGACACGTATTCCCTCTCCGGCATCCCTTGTCACCAGCAAAGAACTTGCAAACACCCTTTGGAGTAGGAGAGGTAGGAGTCGCAGGATTATATGGGGTAGTCGATGACGCTGCCTCCGAGGGTGCCACCAAAGCCTTCAACCTCGGCGCGTATCATTGTTCCTGCTCACACCCAGTCTTGCCTGCTGCTCCATTTCCGCTTGCAAGTGTTGGGAGAACGATGTTATACTGCTGGAAGTAGGACACACATCCACCTGCAGGTTGCTCCTCACCAAACTCACTCTGAAAGACAGCTCCGGATCTGACCTTACCACCACAGCTGTGATCCTATCCAAGCCCTGCAACAAGACCGAAGGATCCGGCTCCGCAATTCCAATCGCCTGGGCCCGTCTTCGCCAGAGAGACCACTTCCTCAGGGCATCCACCGCCTCCAAAGCCGTCTCACACTCCTGAGGATGTTCCAGGCTCGTCAATACTAAGGTTTTCTCCTGCCGGTTGCCCGGCTGATAGGTGGCAAACAACTTGCACAAGAGGCCCACGGTATGCACATCACCCGTTGCTATGGCCTCCTCCTTCACCTGGGCTGGAATAGCGCCCAGAACCATCGCCGTTGCCCTTCGCTCCACCCTGCTCCATTCAGGTTTTCCCATTGTTGACACCACAGGCCTCAAACGGACCTTCTCCAAAGGAGTGGAAACAGAGAAACGTGCATACCACTCAGAAACGTCCTTCAGAGTCATCGTCCACCAATGGCTAGAGGTGTCGCTAAGGTCCTCCATGATCGGGGTGATGCGCGTAAGCCAGTTCAGAAGATCTATGCTTCCAGTCGTCGGGGTGTAAGCCGGAAGTTGTGGTAGCTCAGAAATCCCCGGCTTCACTGTCTCTGGCCTCTCACTCTTGTTGTGCTGGTTCTGAAGTAGCGACTCAATGCCGCGAGCCATTGCTGTCAGCACCTGATCATTGGAGGATCCCGGTACCCGTCCTGGTTGCTGGGCAGAATCCTTCTGTTGCGACTGCTGCTGATTGGTAGGTTCAGGGGATGGAGAACGAGGAGCGCCAAGACCAAATAATCCCTGCAAGAAGGAGCGACTCGGTGGCACAGATGGGTTTGACTGTGCGGAAAAATTAGGGCCAGGACCAGGTGTAGGATGGTTCTGCGAAACTCCTGGTTGAGCTTCCGCCACATTAGGTCTTACTGAAGACACACCAGGTAAAAGAAGTGGTGCTGCAGAAAGCGACTGTCGATCACCAGCAGAGTAATCCTGAAATTGTTGCAGCATACCACCTGCAGTGGACGTAATCCCAGGCGGTGGACCAGGTGTAGGATGGTTCTGTGAAACTCCTTGTTGAGCTTTCGCCATCGTCGCCATAGACCTCGCCGCCATCCGCTCTTCCATCCTTTCCAGCTGTTGTCTCAACTGTCTTGCCTCGTCCATCGCCTCTTCAGTTCGTCGTCGCTCGTCTTGAATCTTTCCCATCATGCCACTGTAAAGCTCGCTCATTGCACCATCCAGCTGCTTTGCCACTTCAGCCTGAACCAACTCTTGAGGAACCCCTGCCGACCCTGACGATGGTGGGGTCGGGGGCTGGAAAATTGCTTGTCCCTCAGCGTGGCCACTGCTGTTGTTGTACCCAGTGGTACGAGGCCTCAGCCAAGGGTTCTCTTGCATCGGGCTCCAAGCCGTATGCACCTCCACACGTCGCTGCTGGAAAAATTCGCCCAATCTTGAAAACCACATTGCAGCTCGACTCACACGAGCAGCTTCCGCGGTCCTTTGAAGGGCATTCGTTGCTGATACTGGAGATGGAAGGGGTGAAGGTTGCAGACATGCTCCATCCACATGCCCAGACGCCGATGTCCGAGGCACTTCCATGTCTGCTGCACCCACTGTATCAGTTCTAGGCGCCAAGCCCATTGCACTGAATTGTCTATCTTCCCCAGCTCCATTGCTCACATGCGATGACAATCCCATGACTTCACCACCAGGATATGCACTCACAGGCACTGAACCGCTATCTGTGCCATCCATGAAAACCACATCATTCCCAGTGGCAGCTCCAGGCCCATCAGCCGCTGAAGTTACACATGGGGCACGACCAGGCCCAGAATTCTCAGGCACTGATTGTCCACCAACCTCAAGCGCTGATCTGTGACCATTCAACGTTGCTGCAGCTGAACCCAACTGTTGCCCATCTTGCCTGCCATAGTCAGGACCATAATCTTCACCAGAGAGCCTCGGGCCGCTTGGGCTCATAACCTGCTGACGAGCAGCAGGTGAGCCAGCAGAACCAGCAACTGAAGGGAATGCCATCGCTCGAATTTGATGTCACTTTTTCGGGCTGCGATCACGAGAAATATTGTCAAATGCTCTCTCATGTCGTTTTGACTGTGATGCTCTGCACCCTGACTGCTGTGCTTGTCAAGAATGCGAGCTCGATCTCTGAGCCCCGTGTCCTCGGGCCGATTGTGAATTCGGGGTTGACCTTGGGAGCAACTCTTCATCACCTAAACCCTAACCCTAAACCCTAACCCTAAACCCTAAACCCTAAACCCTAGGGTTTGGCGATCCAGGAGGCGACATCAGAAGAGTACTTCTTCGCGAGCTCGAAGAAAAGCTCCGGCTCGCGATTCTGCCACTTCTTCAACACCTCCTCTGAAAGTGTGTAGGGTTTAGGGTTTAGGGTTTAGGGTTTAGGATTTAGGGTTTAGGGTTTAGGGTTTAGGGTTTAGGGTTTAGGGTTTAGGGGTTTTGGTTTAGGGTTCACCTACGGTGAAAGACCCCGCCCCATGACTTTAACAAAAGCGATGTTTAAGGTTTAAGGGACTTGTCAGCAAGCCCATCTGGCCTTCCCTACTTCTGCGGGCGGCGCGAGGACAAGCCCTAAACCCTAAACCCTAAACCCTAAACCCTAAATCCCTCAAAAAAGGGACCCCTTAAATCTCATCTTAGACCGGCTTCGGAGTCAGGTCCCATGAAGAAGTGCACCAATACAGAGGGTATGGCTAAGGGGGTTCGGGGTTTCGGGAGGGTTTAGGGTTTAGGGTTTAGGGCTTAGGGTTTAGGGTTTAGGGCTTAGGGTTCAGGGTTCAGCGGCTTGGGCATCCGGGTGCTTTTTGGGGGGTGTCGTTGGCTTCGGGTTTTTTTGTTACTTACCCTAGACCCTAGACCCTAGACCCTAAACCCTGAACCCTAAACCCTTCATCTAGGGCCGCAGAATCCTAAAGCCCTTTTTCCTGCACGCATGGGAGCAAACTTAGAACCTTTTTTGGGGGGGTTCCTTTGTCATGTGGAGCCTTGTACAGGATACCTGGAAAGAACCCCACTATACAGCACATCCCAATAATTGTACCCCCTTAAGGCCCACATTCCTTAACTCCCTCTCGAACAGGAGAAAACCAAAGGCGAAAGTTCTGTGCAGGGTTTAGGGTTAGGGTTTAGGGTATGGGGCTAGGGTTTAGGGGTTTAGGGTTTGGGGTATGGGGTTAGGGTTTAAAAAGTTTTGGGTATGGGGTTAGGGTTTAGGGTTTAGGGTTTAGGGTTTGGGGTTTGGGCTTCGGGGTTTAGGGCTCCTGGATGTCTTTCACCCTCCCAGTCTCATCCAACCTGGACTCAGGTGCAGGTCCGACGCATTCGCAGATCCTTGCCTTCTACCTGACAACCTCATGAACTGCAATACACACACAAAGAAGTAAGCAGAAAAGAACTACCATCCTAAACCCAGAACCCTAAATACCCCAAATACCCCAAATACCCTAAATGCCCTAAATACCCTAAATACCCGAAATACCCTAAACCCCAAACCCTAAACCCGAGCGCTTAGGACTTTGGAGCTTGTGGGGTGTGTAGGGTTCCTACTCTCTGACTTTAACAGCCTCTTGCAACCTTTTGGACACTAAACCCTGCTGCAAGCACTCCAATCCTTGAAAACGCTATAAACCATAAACCCTACTTAATCCCTGGACCCTGTGAAAAACGGTAAGCCCTGTAGCCCTAAACCCTAAACCCTAAACCCTAAACCCTAAACCCTAAACCCTATATACTATATACCCTATTCCCTTTTAATCCTTGATTACCCTACACCCAAAGCCCGAAGCCATGAAGTTCTTGTCGCGCCTCTCAGGCCGGTAGTCCGAATAGAAAGCCGTGAGGCGCGCTTCCAGACCTTCCCCAGCAGGGTTTGGGGTTTAGGGTTTAGGGTTTAGGGTTTAGGGTTTAGGGTTTAGGGTTTGGGTTTGTAAGGTTTCGGGCTTAGGGAAAAGGGTTTAGGGCTTATGGGTTCAGGGATTCGGGAACCTTCTTGGGCACGCTCATGGCTGGGCGAGGAAGCGATAGACCTCACTGTTGTCACCAGGCCCCCATCTGCCCTGCTGCTACAACACATCAGTGGATGATTGCCAGACCCATCTGAGACCACCGCCGTGTTTTGATGTCTCGCCTTTGTTGCAACGCTCCCACCGCGCCCAGCATGTATTTCAAGCACGTCCGGGCCGAATGGAGGTCCAATCTGGAATTTGGCGCCCTCTGCCCCATAAGTTTGAGGCCTTTGTTCAACCTCTCATTCTCCCCTAAACCCTAAACCCTAATCCCTAACCCCTAACCCCTAACCCCTAAACCCTAAACCCTAAACCCTAAACCCTAAACCCACAGCCGACGAAGTGCTCTCAAGGTAACATACAGACGCACACCCACTGTACCAGTCGACGATGCTTTGACCACGTCAGCGTGAAACCGCTTCAGAACTTTCATGCAAACCCTAAACCCTGCACCCTTAAAACTTTAAACCCCTAAACCCCTACAAGTCTTGAACCCCTAATCACCCCAAGCCCTACACCCTTGACCCCTTCTAATTTATAGGGTTTTCAGGGGTTAAGGGTTTACAGGCTTTTGGTTTCGTTTTTTTAAAAGATTTTTAGGCTTTCTGGTTTAGGGTTTGGGGCCTACACGGGATTCTTGAGTTCAGGGCCCCCCTCATCCCGGGTGTAGAGCTCTGCTGTTCTGAGACCCGTGGAAAGTTGAGCCCTCTACTATATAAGCCCCCTGCCCCCCCCCCCCCCCGCTACCCCCCACCAACAAAACCCAAAACAAAAACTCGAAAAGTCCTGATCCTTCTTATCAGCCAGTAGGAACTCCACCCCAAACAAAACAACTAAAATAACCCCCAACTCCCCACAAGCTCAACCCTATAACCCTATACCCTAAACCCCAAACCCCAAACCCTAAACCCTAAACCCTAAACCCCAAGCCTCCCGCCTTCCTTGGCTTCCTTGGCTGGAACGCAGTCGCAGAGAAGGCGGAGGACTTCCCGGTACGTTTTGCAGACCTCGAGAACTTACCCGAAGGGTCCATTTAGGGCTTAGGGGTTTAGGGTTTAGGTGTTTAGGGTTTAGGGTTTAAGGTTTAGGGTTTAGGGTTTAGGGGTTTGGGCTTAGGGCTTAGGGTTTAGGTGTACCTATATAGTACATACTTTACTTGGGCCCTAAAGCTACTATGTGGGAACCCCTTTCCGGCCCCTTTAGAAAACCTTTTTTAGGTACATGGACCCTTAGGGTTCTTGAGGCTTCAGGATATTTTTCAGGCCGAAGGCAGGTGTAGAGACATGACATTCCTGCTTTGGGGTCTCTGGCATGTGCACAGATGCTTCTGAGCTTGACCTATTTTGGCGGCCCCTGAACCTGGTAGATGCAGCCTTCTTTCTGGCCATCTCTGGCATCTCGCACGCTTTCTCTCCAGGCAAAGCTGGCGCCGCAATCTTTGCAGCCAGCTTTGTGCGCTCAAGCGGTCCTCATGGCTTTTCTGGGTCTCGTTCAGGGCTACCCTAAACCCTAAACCCTAAACCCTAAACCCTGAACCCTGAACCCTGAACCCTAAACCCTGAACCCTGAACCCTGAACCCTGAACCCCAAATCCTAAACCCTAAACTCTCGAGTTTAGGGCTTAGG